TGCTTTACATCGTATCAACGTCGGGTCTCCGATCGTCATCCAGAAATGGCAACACCAATGTAAACCTTGTCGTAAAGACAGAAAGCCGAAGAGCCTGTCCATACACTGGTGTCTACTCAAAATTAGCCTCACCCTGTTCTCAAGACAGGCGAAGGAAAACCGATTGTTCAGTTCTCCGGTGTACTATCGAAGTCCAAGCTGCAGCGGCAATCTGACCAGTTATTATGCGTATACTCATTGCGACTTTCACACTGTAGTTACACAAACAGACCCAGTTAACTGTGAGCGTACATGGTGTTACTTGTACACGATGGCACACATGGGTGATGGCATTCGTTTCCATGATTGTTTACCAACGCGGCTATGAACAGCCACAAGGCACCTGCGCTTACGGGGGAATCATGGAGAGCTTGCGATACACAGCCAGCTGCCCCACCCACGCACTCGATACATAGTGGACACTCGAAGACTGTGGTGTACGGAAGTGAGTTGTGGTTGGTACGGAGCCGGCCCACAACTGCAATGTATGTTATGTTACAATAGGGAGACAATGCGTACCAGGCAGTGTACGCAGGGCAGCGGTTGGACCGCCTAGATGAATGCGCTCCATCTGTCAAAGCAACGGCTAAAGTCACATACAGCCGAGAATCTTCGACAACAGGTACAATCCAGCGACATTTACAATGCAACACATGTGCCACATCCAATGGGGGGCGTGTTTCACTTGCGCTGACACGCTATGGCACACAAGCGTGTTGCCCCATTTACAAGCAGCTCAAGTGGCGTTACTGCAGTTCTTCATAAGTGCACTTGTGCCTCACACACTATGCGTCATAGAAGCCAAAGATTAGGCAAGTTCCGTTTAGCCATACAGTGTCGAGACCGTCTGAAGTAACTCATCAGAGGGGGCTTAGTTTCACACATTTGGTTAAATGTTACGGTGGGGTTCACCGCCACTCACCACAGCTTTATATATAGGAGCATTGTAGGTCACATGGCTGATGTCAGCCGGTATATACCTAACGTCTACATCCCCAGTTGGCTCCAGCCTGTCAAAACGGCGCTACGTGGATGATCATGCAATACGCTCTACGACGGCGAGCAGTGGATGATCATTTCTTTTCATACGTGTTTTAAGCTATTGGTCAGCTAACGGCTCGTTTAGTATTTTAGGGGTACTAGAATGGCCACGTGATCTATTGACCTGTAACACTATTATCTAATGATCGTATTATTTCTTGCAGTCTTCACCCTAGTTTCCCATAAAAAGCTAGGCCAATTGTGTACCGATTCACCTGGCCTGAAGACGCTCTTGCGTCAAGAGTGAAGTATTGCCACTAAAGCCTACAAAAGCGATTTGTATTGAAAACCCTCTGAAAACATGAAATCCCAGTCGGTTCCAAGCCTATTCAGAGATTGAACTACTGTACGGACCACGTGTTCAAAAGCTGGCAAGTGAATTTGTGCGTTTGGCTGGTGTTGAAGCGAATTGGGAAAATCATCGTATCTTCAACATAGGATGTCTTAAATGTGGGATTGTTCTAAAAAGCCTCATTGTCAGACCACCGGACAGCTTATTGATCTGCCAAAATAGCCCTCTGCACGAGCAAAACATTCCTAAGACAATGAATTTATATGACCACTCGACGCCTGCATGGAATCCGCCTTCATGCTAATCGGCTAAGCTGAGAGCTGCAGACCGTTATTACGCAGACCGACTAGGATAGACTTTAAAACGCCTCAGAAATGAAGTCAACGCAAGGGAGAGCTGCGAAAGAAAGACAATTCGTAATTTCAATCATTTGATGCCTGTATACCAGGATCGCTAATCTCGATGATAGGTCTGAATCTAGCAGTAGCTATTGCAATGTAGTTAATATAGCAGGCAAGTTGTTGAGTGAGAGGTATATTATTGGAAAAGGGTTTGGCTTTTCTGTAAAATAGTCTAAACTAACTGCGGAAAAAGTTATTCCTAGCGTTGAGACCATGGTGACGAAATTACTAATTTCAACAGCAGATCATGTCCGTGCACAGGTAGTAAACATCAGATTCCAGAAGCCTGGAGAGTCAAACAACAGCGCAGCGTACCGCATTAAAGGCCCTAAGAGAATATCCAATCATCATCATCACGAAATCCGATAGGGTAAGACTAGTGATAATGAACTACTCAAATTATGTGGGGGGAAAATGGAACAGTTTAGTAACAGGGTCTTACAAAATATTTGAGAAAAAATCTGTGGTCCACAACGACCTCTGTGTCAGAAACTACCTAAAGAGTTGGACTACCTAGGGCCGGGTAAATGGTATAAAGTATATCCGAAATCAACGGTTCCGCCTAGAATCTATGGGCTACCGAAGATACATAAGCCCGAGGTTTCCGTTCAGCCCGTTGTAGATGGTATGGGTTCTCCGATGCACGAAACAGCCACATATTTGGCAGGTTTGTTGAAACTAACAGAGAACAGATACGTTCGTACGGAAATCTTATGAGTTCGTGGGAAAGGTACCATGTCTGGCCAGCGTGTCAGACGAAAGAATGGTTAGTTTCGATGTTAGCTCCCTGTTTCAAAAGGGTCAAACACTTCGTTCAGCAATGGTGCGTTTAAAGGATCCGATTCCAAGAGATGGGACGACCAATTGCTTTTGTAGAATCAGTTGCAAAACTGTGAACACGTGTACATAAGTCAAACAGCGCGAGGGCTACGCAGGAGGATAGCCAGAACGCAAGAGGCACGTTTCGCATACACCGAGAAACGAGCCGAAGACAGGGCCTACTAAGAGATACAGCGGTGGACGCAAAATTGACTGGGACAATGTTGAGATAATTAAGAGAATTACGAGCAACAAGCTGAAGGCTAATTGCTGAGGTGGCTGAGATTACTGAAACTAATAACTGTGAACCGAACGGACAAACGTGTAGCACATGGCCTTAACCCGGTCAGTCAGAAAAGGTGTCGGCGGACGAACTCAGGTCGGAGAGTGAATCAGCAGCAGCAGTAACAGATATAGGAATGCTTCACATGTTAACGACCGGTGACGCGAATCAATGAGGAAGGCTCGATGCTTGTTGTTACACTAGAATGCCCACTATAACACTATTATCTAGTGATACGTTATTTCTTGTAACCACCCTATTTTCCCATAAAATGCTGAGCCAATATCGTACCGATTCACGTAGCCTGAAGATGCTCTTGCATCAAGAGCGAAACATTGCCACAATGAAACCTGCGAAAACCTTTGTATACAAAACCTTCTGAAATCATTATTTTTAAGGCTGGTTTGTGATTCTGCAGACATCCGTTCTCGAGTAATGGCCAGTTCCCCCAAACAAGATGTTTACATGGTGAGCAAAATAATTCAGCTGGAATTTAGCACTGCTAATACCGAGCATACGGGTACGATAATAATAATATTCTGAAAGGACTGCTTCTGGGAAGGCAAACGAAAGACACCGCTTGAAATGGTTCGAGACTGGCAGGGTAGCTATTTATGTAGTGTTGGAATATGGTGCATGGAATGACCATCCGTAGGAATGAGAAGTGCTTGTGTACTTTTTAACTTGTACATCTGGAGGTGGTTAATAAGCACACAGAACCCCCTTCTTGTGTGGTGTGCTGGGTTCAAACCTAATCCACGAAGATAGTAGAAAGTGAGCTTTCAACTGTCACACAGCACCAATGTCTCTTACCAGTGAAGGTACTAGTTTATCTATTTTCTGATCCACCCATCAGTTGCTGAACTTTCTCAGCTCCTCATTGCGATAAGATACCGCCCATACGGTTGGATGTCTGCCAGCCGACAACCTTGCCAACTGGGATGACATCTCGTTTGTACGCACACATGGACTGAGCATCACCCACATTATCAAACCATGCTCGAGAGGTTAAATGGATCCAAACTTCCGCGGATGAGTCCATGTGGACGGGTGACGGCGAACCAATGGCTGCAGGGCATATCGAGGTACAACACGCGTCCTTCCTGCTAGTTACTCAGGTAAAAGGGGTGGAGGGGCAAGAGCCATGAGAACAAAGTTGTGGTTGGGCCTAAGCCCGTAGCACTATGCAATTATGGACATTGTTAAAAGGACTGTCATCTCATTTTCACCAGCAGCTGTCGTGGACCCCTAGAGCACTAAATCCTGTCAAAACGGACTGAATGCTGTCTGGGAAATTCAACTGGTGGAGCCGTTGCCCATAACTCGTTAGCAGACGGACGCGTAAAACTGCGGTGCTTTCTGATATGAAAAATCTAACGAAAGAGCCCAATGGTATGTAGCAGTGCCTGCATGCACCCAAATGGTGGGAATACCAGAGCAAAAAAGTTAACCAAAAGGGGCCATGAACCTAACGCCCAACACTAGTGCGTGAGCCCGGAAGATCAGTCGCAATTGCGATGAGCTGCGTAACGCGTCGGCCCTGCGTGCGCACGGTTCCCAAACGATGTGGGCCAGTGGACCACCAATTGAACCGACCGACAGAAGTCGTTGTTGAAGTTGCGACTTACAGACGAACAGGCTAACGCTCCGACCGCTCATGGCGAAGAACAAACCAATTCTACATTCGGACAACCTTAATCGCGCTATTTAATGAGCCAACCGAATTTACTTGACCCCTTCTGTCATGAGTGACCGAAACGCAGCTAAGAGCGTTCGAAATCGCAACACTAGTAGACAAACGCCGCAACTAGAAAATGTGGCAGCCAGGTGGCGAGTCACTGACGAGCACCTGAACCCAAGCAGCGACGGGGTCCGAGCCGCACCTCCATCGCACGCTCAACATTGCAGCACAGGTAGCCCGCCGTCTAGCGGTGCGCAGACGTAGCACGAACGTCACGTCGGGTGTGGAACGGACAGAGGCCACTAGTATCAGACCGGGGGCATGATAGCTGAACTGCGATACGCACACACGATGCCCACCTAAGGTGGAGTACCATTTGACCATACTAACGTCGAGAGCACCCACAACAAGTGAAAGAATGCTGAAGAACAAGAAACCAGGTGTGAAGCATCACTTCGTTTATTCAAGCGAGTCAAAACTGGAATGTCACCAAAGATACCCACTTCCCGTAGAAAACATTACAAACAGCGGTATCGATAATTATGACGAAGTAAACATGCATACAACCACTTCACAGTAAGGCAAATAAAGGGAGTCTTACAGACTACGCGCCAGACAAACAGCAGGCCAGCTCGTCAAGGTCCAGTTCTCCATCCTTGTTCTTATCGTGACTGTCGAGGAACTTCTTCACTAATGCTTTGTCCAAAGTGCACTTGGAGCTGTCAAGGAAGGCCTTCAGTTCGTCTGCGGATACTTTGCCGTTCTTGTTGGTGTCCAAGAACGCGAGAACTTGTTTGACTTCGTCCCGGCTACAAGGAAAGCGACAGGGACAGTAACGAAGGATGCACAAGCGCCAGACGAGAGCAAAGTTGTGGTAACTTACCTAGGCATCGTGAGTCAAGAGAATAGAAGGCAAAGGCGATGTAACAGCGAATGACCACGAGGACGTATCCAGGTTGGTATTTATCAGTTGAATAATGTCAGATGCAAGCAAATCACTTTCCGGAGAATTAGCGGTGGTCTTTTACAGCGAATAGGAGAGAAGAACAGTGACCTTCTGAAGGACGATCATGTATTCGGCCAACAAACCTGGCGGTGATTGGTCCTGGTGCCGCATTACGGCTGAATTTTGTCTAGTGGACAGGCACACGGACGTAGTATTGGTCCGAGTCTTCTGCGTGTGTGCTGCGTATGTTGTGCGGTTTGATATCACGTGCCACTACGGTTTCTGCACCTCACATGTCACGTGCTACTGGCTCAGGTTAAGCTCCGTAACGTGTCCGTGTTCAACTTGGATCGGCAACCTTGGACTCATCGAACCAGCTAACAGTGTGTGTCTAGCCACTACGGCTGACCTCACGCTGTGGGGGCCAGTGTGCATGGCGGTGGTTGGTGAACATCGCTTCTCGGGGGTGATCCGGTTTCGAGGTCATAGCCGTGCATCACATGGGTGGGTGGGTAGCTGGAACAGGTTGCGTTATCCACAATGTTTGTAGGCGAACTCTCATGCGCATTCGCATGCGCGGATATTTTAGAATCCAGCAACGTTAATTGACGGTCTACCTACTGCGGCGTGAATATGGTGGCGCGCTCTATTGACTACGCCACAAATCGTTTATCTATTAGGGCATATGAAAAATGAATCCTGGTACTTGCTTTTCACAGGTTTCCGGACCTATCAGACGAATTTATTAACTTATTTCTCCAGTTTTGCCGCTAGAGTATGCAGAACAATAGTCAGCTTCCTTCCAGAAACATGCTATCAAGTTCTGGTACCACCCGCTACTCCGGTGAGCTACATGTTGTCCTTATCTCTCGCTTTATAGTGACAAGTCTGTCCTAGTATACTGTTGCACTCTCCATCCTAGCAGTCATGTGGCATCGCCGCTTGTTAAATGTTTCACAAGAACCACTAGCCAGTGTACATGTGTCGCAGACAGGGGGCGACACAATGCCCATAATTTGTCAAAAAAGTGCTTTATGCACTCAGAACTGGTGAATATTAGTTTTAACACACATGATTCGGCGACGTAGTGTAATGTAAGCCAATTTGAAAAGGTGGCCTAATAGATGGAAATCATAATGCCATCATAGCTTAAACAGGTTGGTTAATTCCCGAACGACTTTGTTAGGTTCCAGCAAAAATCATACTACCGAAGGAATAACTGAAGAGCTGTAGGCTCGTGTTCGGGCCTATATGGACTTGTACTTCTGTCTGGTTGACGAGGTCGACACATTACAATAATAGTGAAAGGGGTACTGTTGACGCTAATTACAAGTATAACACAAGGCAACTTTTACACACCGCAAAATCGCGACAACCACCCACCTGGAGATTAATCTGAAGTGCTTACTCGGTAGACTAGCAAAAATCCCTGGTGAGCAGTGCGTCCAATGTGCATAAACACGGACAATGACAAAATGAAGTATTGAATCATGGCGGACGGAGGAAGCTAGCAGACTTGAGGCGAAGAACGATGATTTTCTGACTATGTAGACCATTCATTCACATAATGTGGCCAAGATGAATTCCAGCAAAGCGTGACGCCCAACTACTTTACTGATTGGAGGAGTGGTACCCGTCGCCACTCATGCGCGATTCCGGGCACTACTTGTGAAGTTGTTGATAGCGCTCTCCTCTCTGTAGTGAATAAAACGACATTATTGCACGACATATTAAGCAGCACCTGGCATGCTTTCGACAAAGAAGTTAGATCGCTTAGAATATACTTGTGTGACAGAAGAGACAATGGTCGATTCATTGACCTCCAGGACAATATTCTCTGCGCAATTCAATAGGGTCGTCTCTTCAGGGACTGGTATTGAGCTAAAAAATGATAGAATAGCTCCCTGAATAACACCAGTGTTTGTGATTACGGTCGAGGAGCATCTGTCTGCAATTCGGGTAAACTGAGTATGACGGATAAACTAATCTGTCACCGTGTTCGTTCAGTAGCAGTTATCTGATTGTTCTCAAACTGGACTGGTTGTCTACCAAGGTTCGAAGATTGTTCTCCTTGGAAGATAGGTAATTGTTAAACAAGCTTTTAAATCAGCTGCGGTTTAGCTCATATACCAGTCAGGCCTGTCTCCCGCTAGTCCTATGTCAAGGCATGCGTCTTAATTGAATTGTCCCGAGATAGAATGAGAATGAACATGGGTCATTCAAATGCTATGTTGAATACCCCTGTCTATTATTATCGTAGATTACGGCTCAAATTTCCTCTCGTGTTTGCATACGTATATTTATATACATGTATGAACATGTACATATAGTTGGCGTCATCCGGTTACGGATTTGTCTGTCATTGTGGCCAGTCACAGGACACCTGCGCCTACAGAGGCACCATGGGTGGCGTGCGCTGCACCACCCACAGCTCCATCCACACACCCCATATCCAGTGTAAACCCGAAGGAATAAGACCGGGATGGATGCGGATGGGAGCCACCTTTCATCAACGGAGCCGACTCACGCTCCTTCACATTTGAAAACACAACCACGCTGTATTTGGGAATCAAGCACATATAAAGCCGTGACTGGACCTTAGTCCGCTCCACACTGAGTGCATGGAACAACTCTTTGATCATAAAACGGTCACAAGAACCGTGCACCCCGTCTCCTCCAGCAACAATCAACTGTCTCCTAGAGCCAGTGTGGACGAGGTAGTGGGTAATAGACAGGTAGGCACCTTGTCAACATGCACATCAAGCGCAGCCACACCGGGGATATCAAGCAACAGCCAATCACTTGAAACGACAAGATGAAATAAAATAAATCGAATAATGCATACAGATACGTTGGCATAACCCTTCGCCAACTACCACATGAAGTAAGTTGGTTAGTAACGAATCAGCGATAAGTAAACAATGTCCACAAGTTAGTTAAAATGCTACGAACGCAACAAAATTACCGAAGATAAGCGCAATCAGCGTAAGCAACCTGGCCAGTTAATAGATTATTCAGGTAGGCAGAACAAGCCAAATAAAGTGGAATGAAATTTATCCAGCTTAAAAAGACCTAGTTTAAGTGTATGTTTGTTTAGCCCAACTGCAGTGGAGAAGTATCAAGAATGCAACACCAGCCTCAGCACGCTGCACACACACACACACACACACATATATATATATATATATATATATATATATATATATATATGGTTGGCGGCAACCGGTTACGGATTTGCCTATCATTGTGGCCAGTCACAGGATGCCCGCGCCTACAGAGGCACCATGGGTGGCCTGCGTTGCACCACCAACAGCTCCATCCACACACCCCATATCCAGTGTAAACCCGAAGGAATAAGACCGGGATGGATGCGGATGGGAGCCACCTTTCATCAACGGAGCCGACTCACGCTGCTTCACATATGAAAACACAAGCACACTGTATTTGGAGAATCAAGTACACACAAGGCGGTGGTTGGACCGTAGTCCGCTCCACAATGAGTGCATGGAACCACTCTTCGAGCCCAGCACGACCATAAGGACCGTGCACCCCGCCTCCTCCAGCAACGATTAACTGTTTCCTGGAGCCAGATGGAGAAGGTAGTGGACAATAGATAGGTAGGCACCTTGTCAACATGCACATCAAGCGCAGCCACACCTGGGATGTCAAACAACAGCCAATCATTCGAAATACCGATATCGAATAAAGTAAACGCATATGACGACATACACTCGCTCAATGAGCATATAGAAGAAATTGGTTATAAGTGAATCCGCAATGAGTACAAATGCCGAGTTATTTAAAAAATACCACGCGATACAATTACGCAAGTTTACCACAATTTGCATGAGCGGCGTGTGCAAGTTAGGAGAAGATTATCAAGTACGCAGGACAAACCAAATAAAGTGGAATGAATTTTATTCACATTATAAAAACTTAGTTTAAGTGTAAGTTGGTTTAGCCCAACTGCGGTGAAGAAGCATCATGAATGCGACATCAGCCTCAGCATGGGGCACACATATACATATACATACATAAACACATTTACATATATTTTCGTATATGCATGTATTACACTCCCGCGGTGAATCGCCGTAAATTGAATCTTCTTTCCCTCGGTACTGTGGCGAGACGTACTGAGCTATAGAAGGCTCTGGCTGTACTCCTGTGTGATGTGGACTGCATAGCCACAGTGGGCGACCTGTGGCACCACATTCGCGACCAAGTGACAGCTGCCGCCGAGGTGATCATTGGGCGCCCTAACTGTAAGCGGCCTGATTGGTTTGATGACAACAATGTGACGATTGGCGCATTGGTTTGCGGGAAGAACGCAGCATTTGCTGCACATGTGACACCCCAGTGACTTGCGGAAGAGTAGTATGTTACCCAAACTTCGACGGCGACTGACCCGAGAGCTCTGTCGCATAAAATATGCATGTTGGACGAAGAAGGCGAAGCAGATGGAATGCTACGCCGAAGACCGCCAACACAAGGAATTATTTGACTCCTTCAAGACGGTGAATGGACCGAGATTGACGCCGCTGAGGAAGCTGATCGATGGTAGCTCAGACGCTACCTACACACAGAGTGCAGACATAATGCAGATATGGCGGAAACACTTTGACTGTCTCTTGAACAAGCGTTCAGAGATCCACCGGCCTATGTTGAACGGCATGAAGCAGCACGATGTGAAGACGAGTCTGGCGGACACGCCGACACTGGATGAGACGCAGAGAACACTTGCTCAGCTGCGAAACGGCAAGTGTGCCGGAGCCGACAGGATCCCACCTGAAGTATTGAAACACGGCGGACCCGCGTTGGTGACTACGCTGCACCACTTAATAATAACAATAATAATAATAATAACAATAATAATAATAACAATGTGTCAGCCGTACGCCGTGACGGCTCTTCGCTGCGGCGCGACCACAACCAGTCGCGCGCGGGCTGAGTATACTGCGAGGACGCCCACCCCTACGCGGATTCGAACCGGTGACCTTATGGTTGCAAAGCAAACATGCAGACCACTCGGCCACCGGCCGGCTGCACCACTTGGTGCAACGCGTATAGATTGAGGAGGAGGTGCCTCCTGAACTGAAG